TAATTATTGATTTTTCTCCTTCCCTCTCTGTTTTTTAAGAGGATACTCGACCTGACATCAATAACTTTCATTATGCATCAAGATGCATCTATTAAGAAGCACTTGACCTGACTTTCCTAGCACCACTGATTACTAAACTGAGATAGAATAAAACCCAAAGTGAAGCTGTGGTTTTGGATTCCTCCATAGAACAACACTGAGACATATATAGATTGTATATGGTTGTATATGGTTTATCTCAATCTAGACTAGAAAAAGTGGAAATCTAAAATATATGAACCCAATGATCAATTTTTCTTTTTTAAGTTTTGGAGAGGAAAGATGTTTGATCTTCAGCAACCATAACAAAAAGGTGGAGAATGAAGCTACAGATTTTCCTCCTTAGGCATTATAGACATATAAATGACACATGGAGACTTCTTTTACCTTTGTGGGATTTGAATTCCTAACAAAATCTTGGACAGAAGCATGATGTGGGAAAACTGGACAACTGTCAGTGAATTTGTTCTTATAAGCTTCTCTACCCTGTCCTCTGAGCTACAATCTCTCCTGTTTCTCCTATTTTTGACCATTTACTTGGTTACACTAATGGGAAATGTCCTCATCATCATGGTCACTACAGCTGATTCTGCTCTGCAAAATCCTATGTACTTCTTTCTCAGAAACCTATCTTTCCTGGAGATAGGTTTCAATTTGGTCATTATTCCCAAGATGCTGGCGACCCTGATCAGTCAAGACACAACCATTTCCTTCCTTGGCTGTGCCACTCAGATGTATTTTTTTTTCTTCTTTGGGGCCACTGAGTGCTGCCTCCTGGCCACCATGGCATATGACCGTTATGTGGCCATCTGCAATCCCTTGCACTACCCAGTTATCATGGGCCTCAGGTCATGTACCCAACTGGCAGCTGCATCTTGGTTCTCAGGGTTTCCAGTAGCCACTGTGCAAACCTCATGGATTTTTAGTTTTCCTTTTTGCGGTCCCAACAAGGTGAACCACTTCTTCTGTGACAGCCCACCTGTCATTGCACTGGTCTGTGCTGATACCTCTTTGTTCGAATTGGAGGCCCTGACAGCAACTGTCCTATTTATTCTGTTCCCATTCTTACTGATCCTGGGGTCCTATGTCCGCATCCTCTCCACCATCTTCAAGATGCCATCAGCTGAGGGAAAACACAAGGCCTTCTCTACCTGCTCCTCCCACCTCCTTGTTGTTTCCCTCTTCTACAGCACAGCCATTCTCACATATTTTCGACCCCGCTCTAGCACCTCTCCTGAGAACAAGAAGCTGCTATCACTATCCTATACAGTGGTGACTCCCATGCTGAATCCCATCATCTACAGCTTAAGAAACAATGAAGTGAAGGCTGCCCTAAGGCGGGTCATCCACAGAGCTATGGGCCTTCAGAAGCTATGACTAGCTTGGAAACTGAAGCGGTGAAAAGCAGGATAAAGGGAAGAAAATAAAATTGTCAAAAACAGTGTATAGCAGGCTCTTATTCTGTGAGACTGTGGTACCAGTATCTCTAAGGATGCTGCTGGTTTACATAAATTAAGATCCTCTGAAAATTAAAAAGTCCACTACAATCCACTCTTCTGTTTTAACTTTGAACTTCTTTACCAATTTCATTTTATAATCTTCTGCTTTACTTTCTTCTATTTATCCAAAATCCTAGCTGAATATTTTTATGGTATATTTATGTATAAAGTAATTAAAATAATTTTACTATTGACAATGAGTACTTTTCTATTCTCTTACTCATTTTTATAAACAAAGTTTTATTAAGCCATCTGCACATTTCAGGCCCAGGCTATTCCCTAACAACACTGTGGTAAACAAAACAAATATTTGGCCTCATAGAATTTAGACTCTAGTAAGACAGACAATGAAATGTTCTTCACACCTTCAAGGTCTTGTAATGTGCATGTGTTCAGAGGAGTAGCAATTGAGTGCTGCCTGTTCTTCCATAGTTGTTCTGAGCCTCCCTGGGAGAAAGGCTACTCCACACTGACAACTGCCTAAATCTCAAATTATTCACATGGGTTATGAAAGCTGCTTGACAGGCATGTAATAAAGAACTCTCCAGTCAAGTATAAATAAATTAATTATGGGAATCTTCTGTAAACAACTCAAAGATGCTTTGTTTGTTCAACGTTTTCTTCAATATTGGAACTGGATGAAATCAACTGTTCCTTTCAAGCTTGAATATCATTCAACCAACAGACTCTGATTTTCCTCAGTGAACATAATATCACTCTTAACAAATAGCAACCTTGGGTAGAGGCAGTAAAACTTGGTGTAATTCCCAATACCTCACATACAATTAAAGAGTACAACAATATTTACTGCATAAGTATATCATTTCCACCAACTCTATTTAAAAAATACCCTATTCTGGTAAATGGGTACATAAATTGAGATAGAGAGCTACAATGGACTATTGCTCAACAATAAAAAGAGATAATTAATGAATATAAGATATACCCACAAAAGCATCATGTTATATAAAAGTCAGACTTAAAAATATACTGTTGGGGAGGGTAGGGATTTACTTTAGTGCCTGCCTGACAGGCATAAGATCATGACTTTGATCCCTGGTATATATATATATATATATATATATATATATATATATATATATATAGTTGGAATACATGTAAATAAAATTTTAGAAAAAGAAAATATATGGTAACAGCAGATCAAATGATTGCTAGAGAGTAGGAGGAAAATGAATACATTAACTAAAGGGTACACCATAGACTTTTCATGGCAATGAAAATCTTTTATATCGGGCTAGGGATTTAGCTCAGCAGCATAAGCGCCTGCCTTGCAAGCAGGCAGTCCTGAGTTTGATCCCCGGTACTGATAAAAAGCAAAAAGACAAAAAAACAAAGAAAATCTTTTATATCATATTTAGTGGTCGTTAAACTATTGTTTACAATTGTTAAAACTGAACTTTAATATGAACATAATTTACTAAATGAAACAGTTGGATCCTCTTGGTACATTGATTACACTGGCCCACATCTATCACACAGAATTCAGTATTTTGTCCTCATAGAAACAGTCATAGTGTTTCTCCTTTCCTTATGGTGAAATAAAGTGCAATAGACTCAAGTCCATTGAATTTATGTCACCATTCAAGTACAGTAAGCAGAAGCATTTTACTTGGTAGAACTGCAAATTTGACCTTCTAAAGTCGCAGTTACCACACCAGCTAAGAAGTGCTATCTTATACAATGAAGTACATGCTTTTTTAAGTAGTTGTCAATATATGGTGCTGTTTCTACAACTGGTAGAATTCAAAGATTGTTAAATCTAAGGATACAATTGGACTTGCTCCTTAGATTATTGAGCAAGTAACCCCTTGCAGATTTTTTGTAACCCACCTCTACATTTTTAGGTTTGTCTCCTTTAAGATTCCTACTATCCCCAAAATAAACATCTTCACCAAGGTCTTGAATCACTGAGAACCTTAATGAATTAGAAACAGGTTCTCACTGGTATTGTGGTCCTTTTATCATGGAACTGATAAGCAGGCATAGATAAAATCACTGTTGCCTGAAGTGACTGATTTTATTTCTAAACACAAATTTGGTTGCCGAAAGATACTGGTGGTATAGGTGATTGATTTGGGGACCCAACTGAGTCACTGGGATATCTCACCATACTTCTGCAGTCAAAAAGAAACTGCAGAATTTCAATAAAAAGAGATTATCAAGAGCTCAAATTTTAAGGGAAAAAGTTTTAAATCACCATATGAGATAAACACTAGAAAATGCAGAGTAAGACAGAAAATAAATTCATGGAAGATAGTGAAAGAAAAGTTATAATTATCAGTTTAGATCTAGTAATCAGTATCAGAAACTATAGCAGGTATGTTTCCTATTAATTATTTGCTTTTTTCACCCTTTTTCTTCCCAGGTTCCTAGTATAAGTCATCCCGGTGAAGCTATATTTTAGGTATCAAGAGGTGTGACTCACTGCTACAATACACTTGCTGATGTAACTGTGTGTGCTCCCTGTAATAGGAGCATGAATTAACCCCTGGACAAAGAGCAAGTAGATGCTGAGGGCCAAAGAACAATCCCTTGCTCTTCATCTTCAGCTTCCTTTGACATATTCGTAGTCTGTCCTTTTTTACCTTGCTATGTTCTTCAGGATGTTTGTTGCCTTTTATTGTACTCTGACTTGTAATTGTAATACAACAGCGAGGCTCAGAAGGAAAGTGGAAATTAAGCTTGAAGTCGTTCTCCCCAGGGCTTGCTCACCTACATCTAACCTAGTCCACAGCACTTGCCTGGTATACTTTGCATACAGTTACTCTCTCTAGGTCCTAGCTCTCTCTTCTTGGACCTTCGGGTTTAGATTTGATTACAGCTTCTCACTTTAGCCAGCCCTGTGATATGCAATTATTTCTTGTTGATTTACAAAACTATATATTCACACTTATGAATGTGCATCCTCATAGGCAAGATCCTAATATATCTGAAAGTACAGTGATATGGACAGAAGAGCTGTCAGGTCCATTATATTTGTGATCTTCATTACCCACCTCTAATACACATACAAGTACACTTGCATGCACATACAAATAGGATTTATGGCAAAAAGTCAATGCTTTTTAAATTTTTATTATTTAATGTTTTTTAGAAATGTGAGGGCTGGGGATTTAGCTCAGTCCTGTAAGTGCCTGCCTGGCAAGTGCAAGTTTGTGAGTTCGATCCTCTGTACTAAAAAAAAAAGCAAGTTAAAAAAAATTTTGAAAGTACTAAAATACTTGGTGTAAGATCTTGGATAGATGAATTATGTATGTATAAATTACATATAAAAGAGAACTTTTATTACAAGGTCTATAAAATATGAGTGTTTCTCAGGGAATTTCCTGAATCTTGAGTGTCAAAGAATAAAACAGAAGAAAAGAGATCCTCTGTACCATTGGTCCTTGAATTGTTATGCTTCTTCCACAAAGAAAGTGCTGAAGAATAAAGAGTGGGCTCATATACAAGGCTCAAGGAAGAGAGTCTTAACACATACAGTTCCTCAAGGAATCAGACTACCCAGCAAGTTTAACATGTAGGAAGTCAGAAAGGTCTCTGAGTCAGCGAATGTCCTCAAGCCTATTTGGGAAATTCCTTGCAGCTACTTTCCTCAGTGCTCCCTTCACATCCTTGTTTCTCAGGCTGTAGATTAAGGGATTAAGCATGGGGGTTACCACTGCATAAAAAACAGACACCAGTTTCTTTTGCTGTTTAGAAGATTTGGGTGTCATGTAGGTAATGATTCCTGATCCATAAAAAAGGATGACAACCATAAGGTGGGAACCACAGGTAGAAAGTGCCTTGAGCCTTCCTGCAGCTGACTTGATCTTGACCACAGTCACTATGATGTAACTGTAGGATACAAGAATTAGGGAAACAGGTATAAGAAGAATCACAACCCCCATGAAGAAAATGGCCATCTCTGAAGTGCGAGTGTCAGTGGATGCCAGAATCAACAATGCAGGGGCCTCACAAAAGAAATGAGCAATCCTGTTGCTGCCTTTGTAGGTCAGCCTTAGGGTGAAAGTGGTATCCACCACAGACACAAAAATGCCGCTGGTCCATGATCCTGTGGCCAACTGGATACACACCCTCCGGGTCATGATGCTATAGTAGTGCAAAGGGTTGCAGATTGCCACATACCGATCATAGGACATCACTGCCAAAAGGACACACTGTGTACAACCAAAAATGAGGAAAAAACAAAGTTGAGCTGCACATCGTGTGAATGAAATCACCTTCTTTCTGGAAAGTAGGTGGACTAGGGCCTGAGGAACTATGTTTGTAGAGAAACAGAGGTCAGCCACAGACAAGTTGCAGAGGAAAAAGTACATGGGCGTATGAAGCTGGGAGTCAGCCTGAACAAGGGACACAAGAAGCAGATTTCCAAGCACTGTGACGAGGTAGACACCCAGGAATAAGGTGAATAGCAACTGTTGGGTGTTGGGGTCATCAGAGAGTCCTAGAAGAAGGAATTCTGCCACTTGTGTCTGATTTGTCTGTCTCATAGTTTGTCTCCCTTTTCAGCAAGAAGTCATCATATGTAAACATAAGGGGTCATAACCTATAAAATTATCTAATTCAGAGTTGGAGGGTTTACATGTAGCCCCAATTACTACAACATTTCAACAAATTCCCTTTATAATTCCTTTAGAGGATGATCAGGCAGCTTAAACTGGGAACATTCGCAGTGTTGCACAGTAGTACTGTATGATATGTTATATTCCCTATTTGTATACCCTGGAAAGTGTAGAATAGATCAAAAATGAACCATCCTCCTTTTTTCGATTACCACAGTTTCAAAAATAGGGCAATGAATGAAGATCAGAGGTATCCATAAAGTCATGCCGAGCAATTGCAGCTTATCATCAATTCAGTCCTCTGTGTCTTTTGGTGCTCTTGCCACATCTCCATCTCATGACTGTGCTAATGTATTAAAAAATATTTTAGCCATGCAGCTGATCTTGTCTCTTCCCTAAAAAGACAGCCAGGAAGATATAAGAATTCAAAGAGAGCCAAAATACTCCGTATAACCAATATGCTTCTTAGAGAACATAGCCTATCCTAAAGGAATTGGGGAGCTAAACAATACACTTGACATCTTATCTGCAGCTTCCACTGGAGCTCTGTGAAGCAAATCTCAACTGTGAATAAAATTCTAAAAGAGTAGACCAACCAATAAACAATAATTTTCATTTGTCATCAACTTGGCTGATGTCTGGCTCTGCTTTAACAGTACTAGTACCCCCCATCTAGCCCATCATCATCTATTATTACCTTGTGTTATCATTGTTTATCCCTCCCCCAAACTTAAAAACGCCTTTAAAACAGTGTAAGCTTTTACTGTGTACTTGATAAAACATAGTAGAGCACCTCATTCAATAATTACAGTCTCAATAAAAATGTAAAAATAGTAGAGATATATAGAATGCCTGCATGGTCAATGAAGAGATTGGAGCTGGTGATTTAGCTCAGTGGCATAAGCACCTGCCTTGCAAGCAGGCGGTTGTGAGTTCGATCCCTGGTACCAATAAAAAAAAAAATTTGATGTGGCTGTTACAAAATTTTATATAGTTGTTAGAAAAGTAAAGGATAGTTAAAATGTAAAGTTTACAGTTCTATGCAAAGGGTAGATTATCAACTATTTATCTGATAATTGTTAATGTTTCAAGTTTTAAATGTATCAATGATTACCAAGGAAAATAGTTACATCAAATATAATTATCAGTATAGTTTTAGAAAACAAGTGTGTAAGCCGTAACATATGTGCTTTAATAATAAAGACTATGTGTCTTCATTAATATTTTTTGGGCAATACTGGGGATTGAACTTGGGATCTTTTAATAAAATACATTTTCAGCATTTTTAAGTTCTTTAAAATTTTGAGACAGTGTCACACTGAGCTGCTAAATCAAACTTGCAGTCCTCCTGCCTCAGCCTTGCAGAATGACATTAAAAGAGGTGGGTCCAACAACCACTTTTATTTCAAAATAATTATGACCTTAAATATTTGCAGATATCCAACAACTACAATGTGATATATAAATACTTAGGATTTCTGTTGCTGACAAAGTCATACATTCTTCCAACACTGTTACCAGTGATAACCTAAAGTAGAAGCAAATGCCAATTTCATTTAGAGGAAAGTTAAAATGCAGAGGTAGCATTTCACATGCAAATTGAAGAACACCTTGAAATCCTGGCTAAGAAACTCCTAGGCTAAAGGAATTTTCTAAAAGAAGGAGAGAGAGAGAGGAAGGGGGGGGAGAAAGAGAGAGAGGAAAGAAAGGAAGAAAAAGAAAGTAAGAAAGAAAGAGAAAAGATCAAGAGGCAGTATTACATCCTACATAATCGATTAACAAAGCCTTAAAATCTAGATGGATCTGTAAGTTAAAGTGATGAAAAACTACTTATTTAGTCTTAAAGTTAGGATGTGGCATCAGAAGAAAGTCCTACTGTTCTGTTTAACTGCTTTGATGTTTTAGGGGCTTGTTCATTTTGTAAGCAGAAGGTTTAAAGCAAACAGTAAAGTCCAAAACAGATGTCACTTATTTGAAAGAAGCCCAGTTTATAACAAGCCACCCTCTCTCCTTTATTCATGCTCTGGAATTTCTCCTTCAATATCTTTCATTATTCTCCAGTTTAATCCCAACTCACAGACATAAACACAATCATCCTCACCACAAATATCTAATCTATCATAGATATGCAAGTGTGTTTACAGTCTCATGTACTTACCTCTACAGTGGTTCTCAACAAATATTTCTCTGAGACCAAAAAATGTTTAACAGTAGGGACAACATCTGTAAAACTTTTATTTCCAGCTAATAAGATCAATCATGGTACATAACTGTCTAGCATAGTTTTTCTCAACTGATTTGAATCAAGTCAAAGTAGCAAAAGACAGAGAGGTGAGTGAATCTGTGTTACTGGTTTGTGACTTGTCAGGTGATGTGGCCTCTTAATGAATAGCACTGCATCAGAAGGCAACATCCCTCACTTTCCTGATTGTCATTAAGAATGTTATTCTCCCGTGAAAATGTAGAAGAGAAAATGTTTCCTCAGATGACTGAGAATCTACCTGCAAGGTCAAGCAGAATCTAAATGAAAAATCATTCTCAGTGTCAACCTTTTGCCTCTTAATTTTACCTTTTTTCTGGATTAACAGGAACTGTGAGTTCATTTCTCTAAAACTAAAATATGTTATTGGATGTGAAGGAGGATTGAAAAGATCACAGAAATATTCATTGTCTAATTGACACACATTTTAGAAACAAAGGATTGAATAAGCCCATAAGGAAACAACAGAAGAACACATAATTTCTCTTTTGATTCCAAGATCCTTTGCACTTAAAATCACTTATTCTTTATCCTCCAAGCCCAGCTCAACAGAGGAATTAACTAAAACCCAATCTATGGAAGTTCTGTCTGTCTCTACATAAGATGAGGACCAGGATTATTTTTCATTAAGAATTTTACATTGCAATTATGATTTGATAAGGTATGTAAAAATGGACCATTACCAAAAATGACCAGATCTATTACAGAATGTTTAGCCTCATTAAGTAAGTTATTTTCATAAAATTAGATTAATTTTAAAAATCAATGCAGGTGAAACAAGTTCACTTCCAGTACATGGTCAATTGTACCTTCTTGGCTACATTATGGTTTTTTTGTTCCCTTCCTTCCCCTCTAGTGATCTTACCAAATTTTCTTATCTGGAGAAGAAATAGATCAAATTAGCATGCCAAAGCCAATAAAGGCATGCCACCATGGAGGGAGAAAATGCTGAAGTACACAGGATGCACCGTGGGAAAGTGGAGATGACCAGCATCTTGTCCTAAAAGCAGAGCTCAGTAAATTCTAATCATCACTAAGGACAAGGGAGGAAGGGGAACCCCCACATTTCCCACATCCTCTGCTCCATTCAAAGTTCTTACCATTGACTTCATGATAAAATGTACATTAATGTTTCTATTTAAAGGAGACAAAGCTGTGAAGAGGGGATTCTAGAAGCAGTCTCTGGAGCAGCTCAACTTCAGGAGAACTCAGGAGAATTCTGAATCATTAGTTTGTATCCTGAGCTATAATTCCTCTCAGAAGACTCCCAGATGGTAATAAGGAGGACAGAAGGGGGAACATTGTACTGTTGCAATTAAACATTTCGTTTCTGGAAGAAAAAAAAACACTAACTTGAAACTCAGACCTATCGTATTTTCTGTATAATTAAAGAAAGTTCATCATTTGCAGAATTGGAAGGTGACAATGACAAGACATCTGCCTGTGGTACTACTTTGAGCTATTATATTAATATATAATTATAATATACAATTATTGTTGTCATCAAGGCAGGGGATCAGCATTATGAATAAATATCTCAGTTTTGAAAGATATTATTGGTTTGACATTGTTCAAGAAATTTGTTATATACTTTCAGAATCCTAAACAACCCAAATGAGATGCTAAAAAAAATCCAACACAAATCAATTGAAAAACAAACTAAGCAGAATTTTTAACGTTGGGCTGAGTGTGGATAATAGTGGCACAAGCCAGACTCTGAAAACTTGAGACTCTGGCAGAACTCCCACTTTTGTACTTGCAGCTTCTGAAGCACCAGTCTAGGAGAAAGAGCCAACGTAGCATAAATCACCGCTAACAAACCTGAATGGGCAGAATAGTGTATTAGGTCAGTTTAGTTCATTGTATGGCTGCAATCCATCTTCTTTATGATTTCCCCATCAATTTGTTTTAAAATTACCAAAAGAAAGCAATTCAAATACATATGAAAATCTATGCCTAATAAACTGTTATTTTGTAATTTCATACACTGAAAAAAATTCAGATTTTTAAAGCAGTTAAAAGAACACTACAAAGAACTCTCATACTTCCCTTTCCCAGATTTTCCAGTTATTAACATTTTATAACGTTTTCTTTATAATTTGTCTCTACTTATACATGTTCTATTTTAATTTCTTGGTAGCAGAACTGATACTCAGAATATATAAAATTCTTCTACATATTGATAGAAGTTGGACATTTCAGTTTTTAAGTGAGCAGAAGACTTGAACAAGCACTATCAATATAGGAAATGCAAGTAACTAAAAGACACGAGAGAGGTGTCCAACATAATTATCCCCTAGGCCTTGTAAACTAAAACCACAGAGAAATGCCAGTGTCATCGAAATGGAAAAAATGACTTAGACTATGAAAGAAAGAAAGGAAAGAAGGAAGGAAAGAAGGAAAGATGGGAGAAAAAAAGAAAGGAAGGAAAGAAGGAAGGAAGGAAGGAAGGAAACAAAGAAGGAAGGAAAAAAGAGAGATAGTTTTGCTGAGGATCTGAAGAAATTTGAACAAGTATATATTCCTATAGTGACTGTAAAATGATGCAGCTGGAGTGGAAATCAGTACGATGCTCTTTAATAAACTGAGTATAAAATTATCATGACCCAACAATTCCACTCATAGGATATGATAGAACTGTGGGGGACTGGCGACGGTGAAAAGATAAGAAGTATGAAATATAAATGACCTTTATTTTGAGAATGCAGGGAGAGACACCCCCGGCCCCCTGGGGCGCAGCATCTCTACCCGGGTCGGCAATCTCTCCGTGGAACACGTGGAGTGAGGCACATAAGTAGCCTCGGTTTGGGGTGGAACCT